GTCAACAATGCTTTGTAGCGTGTTTCAACATTATCCAAAGTAATCGGGGGATGGGGGTGGGGGGGGGGGGCTCTTCAGTCCCAAACAAATAAAATAACATTTACCGCCTGCATAAATTCATGGCGCAAATCTCAAAGAGCAAAGGCAATAGAGTAGGACAATAACACTGAGCGATCATTGCCTTTTTTGCTAAGGTACACGCCGGAAAGCAGCTTTGCTCACTTCCTCGTTCCTGGTCAGCGCATCATTTTGTATGCGGCACCCATTCCGCCCCCGATGCCAACTTTACACCCATGAACGATAACCGTGTAAGTGCCTGTTATGGCTTCACCATAAATAATTAGGATGGGGCGTGGAGAGTGGACTCGGTCGGGTCTGGTCATTTTATTTTAGCCTGGCTTTCATCGACCATAACGCTCTTTCAAGAATATTCAAGAATTAGTTCAGAGCTAATTTGGTGTAACGGCGGAGTGGCTGGGGAGAAGGACCTCTGGGCTTGCCCGCTTTTAAGCTGCTGCGCCCGTGACTCCACCCGGGGCCTGTACAAAAAGATGCATGGGTGGAGAGTCTTATTACAAATGGATCACTGCATTTAATTGAGTGAAAACACAGCATCATCTCAAAGGCAACACACCTTATGGAGCAAAGCTTGCAACGGCACTGTCAACATTAGCTGACCGTCATACTGACAGGGGGCATTTACAGTGACAAATCCACTTTGGCAAACCATAGGGGAAAAAAAACACAGAACTAACACTGTGCGGGCATGCTCATTCAGTTTTGTTTTGTTTTTTTTAATTTTTACACTTACTCAACTCTGCACAGGTACAATGGCCAATATGTATGAATTTGGATTGATGCTCAACATGTCCACATGTGGTTATTGCATTAGGGCTTGGACTGAATACTATACAAAGCCAAATTCCAATTAAGTTGGGACATTGCTGTGCTATACATCTAGCTAGCTAGCTAGACAACTAGCTAGCTAGGCAACTAGCGAGACAGCTAGCTAGCTAGACTAGCTAGCTAGCAAGCTGTCAATGTGTGTGTGTGTGTGTGTGTGTGTGTGTGTGTGTGTGTGTGTGTGTGTGTGTGTGTGTGTGTGTGTGTGTTGTGATCAGGCAACTAGCGAGACAGCTAGCTAGCTAGACTAGCTAGCTAGCAAGCTGTGAATGTGTGTGTGTGTGTGTGTGTGTGTGTGTGTGTGTGTGTGTGTGTGTGTGTGTGTGTGTGTGTTGTGATCCAGATAGTTGCAAGAGACACTCCGGACAGTTGAAGCAGCATCTGCTGGTTTTGAAAAAAAAACAAACCCACCCAAACTCCGCTTGCAGGTGGCAACGTTTCATTTCCACTGGAGTGCATACCAATTAAGGAGTAAAACAATTGTTTTTGGGGGTCTGTAGTTTTCCTCTCTGCTTTGTTTATTCCCGTGGCCATACAGAATGTAAATAGGTTGATAAGTGAGTGATAAAAGCGGTGAAGAAGCGACAATGGTTGAAAACTGCAAGCTGAGAAGCTCCCGGCCACAGACTGTGTTGTGAATTCTCAAGCCAATTATTCTTCCTTGCTTTTTGGGGAGAATTTTTTCCAAAAGTAGATGCAACGAGATCAGAAGACAGCAGGCGCTTGCTGAGCCACATTCTTTGTCACTTGGAAGATGGAAATCTTTTGTGCCTGGGGAATTTTAGCCTGGGGGGGGGTTTGAGGTTGTAGGTTCAAATCCTGGCCTTCCTGTGTGTGGGCTTTCAAGCCCTCAAAGGCAATTGCGTTTGTGACCACTGAGCGGGTTCCCCTTCCGTCATTGGAACAATTTGTAGCCGTCATCTTGACTTTCCAGATGTGCTCTGAAGAAGTAACACTGGCCCCTGACAGTGTTCTGCTCATTTTCTTTGGATGTATTTTGGGGAAGAGTGAATGCAACATTTACATGCTTGTTGAATCGATCCCTTGCAGGCACCCGAGTATTTGTTTAAGAGCAAATGAAAGTTCAATTGTCCATAAAACGTCCCTTTGAACAACACAAGCCGTTGTCGTTTTGTGAATGCTGACATTTATCACTTCCCACGGACCCGCTGTCAAGACTGCGTGTCCCAGAGAGAGCTGTGGGGGGACGGAGCCAATTCACGGCGGTTTGACTCCGCCGGTCAGTCACAGGGCACAGACCGAGGCAAAAAGCAACCGTTCGCCCAGTCAGGGCGAATGGTTGGAGAAGGAGCGTTGCTCTTTGCGCGTCATTTCTCCTCACTACAAATGTTCCATTCCGAGAATATATGGCGTGATGGATCGCTCCCCTTCGCCCACCCCCACCCCCGAGATTCACCAGCTCTTCTCATTAGCAGCTTTTAATTGGCTGTTGGACCAAGGTGAAAACAATGAGGCATTGATCTGCTTGAACATAATCACCTCATCCAGTCATCCAATGGCCGCTGTCACAGTGGGCCACCGAGAGAAAAATGAGCGGCCGGTGGCCCCATCGATGCCCTTCACTTCCCCTCCGTCAAGTCTGGGGTGCCCAGCCACCCACTCCATCTTAGCGGGTTGGTCGAACCCCTTTGGCTGTCTCACAAACTCAGAGGACGGCATCCGTCACGGCCCACGCTCACGTGCCGACGGCGCAAACGGTGGGCGGTGGCCGCTGAGCAGTGAGCACCGCGCTCAGGACATTTCCAAAAATGAAATGAGGCCCCGCTGTCAAATCAATCAACTGGACGGCGGGGCTTTCGCTGGAAACTTTTTACTTGCACTTTTCAGAGGGGACAGCACACGTGCGACATTTTCTCTATGACACACGGTGAGCACGCACTTGCAGACTGCTGACTGCTAACCAAGCCCAGCGATGCAGATCGCGTGCCACCGCAGGTTCAATGTACGTGTGTGTGTGTGTGTGTGTGTGTGTGTGTGTGTTTGTGTGTGTGTGTGTGTGTGTGTGTGCGTGTGTGTGCGAAAGGCAAACATTAAGATGAACACGTACTTGATTTAACACTTTTCCTACTGCCCTGCGATTGGTTGGCCACCGGTTCAGGGTGTCCCCCGCCTGCTGCCCGAAGACAGCTGGGATGGGCTCCAGCACCCCCCGCGAGCCTTGGTTGGAAAAAATGAATGAGCTTTTCCTGACACGGTCAATTCAAAGTCAGCAGTTCAGTCAAGGCAGCAAGCTTGATTCGTTCTCTTTTCACTGCACAGCATGGAGTGGCTCGTGAGAGTCCATTTCCCAAAACCCCACAGTGAACTTTGTAAACTTTTAAAGTTTCGTAGCTCCTCTTTAGAAAAAACCAACAAAAAAAAACAAATTAGCGCTCCCCGACTTCTTCAACCAGCTCTTCCTCCCCGTAGAATGTGTGGCGTTTTGATGAAAGCTCTTTCATGATGTATTTATTTCAATCCATGTTTATCGTCCCACTTTGTTCTACGAGAAGTCTGTCTCCCGCTGGAATGTTTGTTTGCTTCCATCGCCTAAGATGAATCAAGACCAAATGTACAAGAAAAGTCCTCGATGGACATTTGCAGGTCGGGATGTGTCACAAATGACAAATGTCCAGAGGATTGAATCGGTGGGGGACGAAGGGATGCGGGCGGCCGGTGGTCTGCACCTGTGCGTCTTGGCAAAGAGCCAAGGTTCCCTGCCAAGTTACTCGGAAGACGTGAGCTCTCGCAGTGGCTCTGATGCAACGTCAACCGCTCATTTCCTCAGCTTTGACCGGAAAGAAAGTGCGCATGTCACAGGGCCACTGGTGAAATATTCAACAAGGCAACGCGTGCTGGGCGTTTGGGGCTGGAGCACACTCACGGGAGGGTTTTTTTGTGGTTTTGTTTTGTTCGACCCCCCACTCCTACATTTAGAGTCTGTGTCGTGCGCAGTCATGCCAAGAAATCCCTCACAAGTGTTGCGAGAGGTGCATGAATAGTGCATGACGCAGCGAGACGGCAAATGTTTGCCTCTTCATCCGCGATGCGGTGGCCTTTGGTCTGACCGCGGCAGACGTTGATGGAAACGGGAGAAGAAAACTCACCCGACTTGCGTAACCTGCTCCGAGGCTAATTCGGGAATTCCTTCCAAGCGTTTGAAGAGCCCATTTCGGCTAGAGCAACGTACCCCGCTTGTTGCGAGTCGGTGTCAATGGATCTCTTCCCCACCACCGTAGAACTCGCCAAGTCAGTCGAAGATCCAAAGCCTTTTGGTCACCTTCCCCCATTTGTGTGCGCTGCGCAGTCACGAGATGTCACATGCTGTTATTCTTGCCTCTTTTCTCCCCCGTCCTGGGATGGGTTCCCTCTTTAATTGTTGGATGCGGGTGTCTGTTGCGGCGCCTGTCAAGGAAAGATAAAGAGTTTTTCCCCGGGCGCGAGGAAAGGCGAGTGCGGTGATGGAGGGCCCCGCTCCCGCAGCTCGGCTGGCCGCATTAGCCCGTCGCTTTATAATTGTGTGAAGGGGCCACTTGCAACGGCTCCCCCATTACTCACTGGCGTGGGCGCTACCTGGCAGGCGAAACACACCTCGTCCTCACATTGGCACTCTCTCTCTCTCTCTCTCTCTCTCTCACTTCGAGCCCCCTTATTGTTATTTTGACCCCGTACCCTCATTGGCGGACGTTGCCTTTTCTTCCCAAAATCCATTTCTCGACACCCTCCTTCATCAGCCAGCATTCCGATTGTACACCCTTCACAGCCCACGCCTCGCCTTTCATGTTTTGTTGTGGCATTGTGTTTGCCTTGTCCTGTCCAGAAGCTCAGAGGCTTCAGACGCTCGGATCTCGAATTTCCGGGAAAAATACATTGGTCACCAGTCACTTGATTCGGTACGCCACGTGTGTTGTTGAGTCAGCTCAAAATACCAAAACTGTCCAAAATGATGTATAAGAGACAAAAAAAAAAGGCGTCAGATTCGGAATCGGTGTGAAAAGAAACATTTGAAATTTACTTGCATCTCCCATTAAAAAAAAAAAAAAAAAAAACACGTTGCTGAGTGAAACGAGGCCTTCACGTGTAATTCTTGTCCACAGAGGGAGGTACGTGTGAGGTGATTGCGGCCCACCGATGCTGTAACAAGAATCGCATCGAGGAACGCTCTCAGACCGTCAAGTGCTCCTGTTTACCAGGCAAAGTGGCAGGAACAACACGCAACAAACCCTCCTGCGTGGATGGTAAGGAAAGTCGCCTGACCACATCTTGCCTCCGCTCACTATTAAGTAAGCCAAAGGTGTGACAAGTGGATGCTTTGGGATTTCTCACTTGATTACAGCACTCCATAAAATGACCGAATAAATGCAAGAAACGAGATGAAATGTAAGTGCATCTTGTTTGAAAAAAAAAAAACCAATTGCTATAGTATACAATACACGAATCCACTGCAAGATTAGTGCAATACGAAAACAACAGATGTGAATGTGATTAAGAGCTTACCCTGTGCAATATATATATATATATATATGTGTATACACACACACACACACACACACACACGTACGAGAGAGAGAGAGAGAGAGAGAGGTTTCTTTCTATTGTTCTTTTTTTTTTTGTTTTTTTACCGGTGCATTTATTTTTAACCTTGCACTAATAATACAAATGCATTCAACCATTAGGCAGGAAGTGGTTCTGTGCTCCTGGGCATCAAGTGCTTGATCCAGAGTTTGTGAACACCTGAGCAAGGAGCACGGCGCAGATCACATTGCCCACGGCAGATCAGGCTGATGGAAATGAATAACTCACCAACAATTCGGGGAAGCTCCAGGCGAGTGCACCTGAATTACCTCAGCTGAAGAAAACAATCAGACTGAGGCACCTTTGGGGGAGGGGGCGGGGGCGGAGGCCGTGCTGTCCACAAGTCACAAACCTCCCGTCACGCACTCCTTCGGCCACAAAGCTCATTCGTCGCTCTCCGATGGCGATCCTCTGACCTCAACCCCCAGCCGAATGTCAAAGTGTTCACCCTTTGTGAAACAAAGGACGCAGAGGAAAAAAAAATAGTTCCAAAAAAAAAAAATCATCAAATGCTCATTAGAAGGACAGCCAGACAGATCCACTCGATGGACTCCACAGGACCGGTGGGTCGTTTGACACTTAAGATGATGAGACGAGGCTCGAAAATGTCCCGTGGGTTGCGTCCTCGGTCCTTGAGGCGTTCTGATCTTTCCATGGCAACGCTCGCTCGAAACATTTTAGCCAAAGGTCGCAAATGGAAACCGGCTTTATCGGAGTAGACCTTGTACAGCTAAATGAGCTGACACGGTCTCTTCATCTTGCTGTGATCTCCTTCGATACTTCTTCAAATGGCTTGACTCTTTTTGAGACATCAGTCAATTTGAATGCCGAAAGAAATGAAATGAGCACACTTGAGAAACATGAATTCAAAGCTTACGTTGCAAGTGTCATCGTGCCCCCCCCCCCCTTGTCATGATGACCCGCATCATTGGAGCCTTGACAGTGCAATTCTCAACCGTGCTGAGGAAGAATTATTTCGAAAAAGATGGATCAGGGCCCAAAGTCAGCTGGCCGAGGAACCGGCGCGCCCGCCGGCCTCTTGCGATGGATGCACGCATGCAGCGAAAACTCCAAACTTGACCAAAGTCTCTCCGTCGCTCAAGCCAGTTCAAGTGAGGAGAAATTGAAATGTCGTTCTGTATTTTTTCTTCCAAACTGAACAGAACAAATCATTTGAGCAAGCAACGTGAAGCAGACACTCCCATCTTGTTTTAGCGGGCGCAACGAAATGTCGCCACGGGCTGTAACGAACCCCTGCGCCTTGATTGTGACGCCCACGGTCGCCAGCGATTGCGCCTGCGATCTGTGCGATCCGGGGGGAGAAGCGAGCAAAATTCCAGCCGCGCGACTGCATTTCTGTTGAACGAGCCGTGCGGCGGCATGCTAGCAAACAGCCGTTAATGCCCCTGTTGCACAATTAGCCAATGAAAAATGGATGCGGTTTCACTTAGCCGGCAACAATTTCACTCGAACAGAGCAACAGAATGGTTGGAAGACCATCGCAACTCTGGAAAACGCCATCCCACTGTGTAAGTCTTTGACACGCGGTGGAAGATGATGAAAACAGCCCGCTACCTATTTTGTCATTTGGCTCTCATGGGCACGAGCGATGTTGAGTGCAAAATCCTCCCAGATTCATGTCAGTAAACAAAGTGATGTGCAACTCGCCCCGCATGTACATCGCTGAGTACCATTCTGCAAAAACGTGACGGGGCAATGAGATTTTGACACCACCGTCGGGAAAAAAAAAAAATATGACTCGGCGCTCACACTCGTCGCCGTGCTCACCGAACGTAAGAATATCTTGCAGAGTGGGACTTTTTTTCTGTTTCACCGCGTCATGAGGAAAGTTTCGAGTTGAAGTCGGGTAAGATCGGGCGAAATCAAAGCGTACCTCACAAAGATTCAGGCGCAGAAGTTAAAAAAGAAGCTTTGGTTCACACTTTCACGCCTCAGCAGGTTTGGGCCCCCCAGCCAGAAATCTTCGGAATATGTTAACGAGCACTTTGAGGTGAATAAAGACGAGCGGTCGCGCAGCAACGCGGCAGATGACCTCAACTCCTGACTGAGGCGCTCTCTTCATGTGGCTCACACGTTCTACAAAAACACCACCGAGCAGTCTCGGATCAGTCACAGCGAGCTCTCCTCTGGACACCGCCGCCCTCTCTTTGCCGCTCAGACTCGGCGCGGTGAGCCGAGCGTCCCGCATGGGACTTTCTCGCCACTGCCCAGTTGTCCATCGAGAATGAACAAAGATTCTGCAACAGGGTTCGTGGCCCTGCCGGGGGGAAAACCTCCTGCCACTCTGGCATGCGCACGACCACCAAGATGAACAATCTTCGGAAAGTCAGCCGTCGTTATCTAAGGAAAAGATGAAAAAAAAATCTGTTTTCATGGGTCATTTGCTGCGCCACATAGGCAGAGCCCAAAGGAGAACGCTCGTTTTTTTATCCTTTGCCAAATTTGCGGTCTACCCCTTACGGGCGCTCTTATCGGTTCTTATCATCTAAATCCAACATCAAAGCGCAGGGATGGTGAACACGGATCCCATTGTTGTGTGTGTCGTTCGCGCCCGAGCGTCATCGGCCGGTTGCGCAAATGCTTAAAAATCCAGCACAAAGTTATTCAAATGGTTGCGCGTCATCTGGCAACCAGCGGATGCCGGATCATTTCTAGCCTGTCACTCGGGAGACCCTTTGGATTCTTCCAGTCCCCCAACATGAATGTGTTGGGAACGCGGCAGAGAACCTGCAAACCGCACACGGGACGCCGCAGCCCCAAACGCCAACCTGAACCAGTTGGCCAGCGCGCCGCTGCGCCGGCTTACATGAGTACCTTCACTCAAAAAATCCCTTTCTGCACTCGCGCTTGAGTTGTAGCGTAGACCAAAGAGAAACCAATGGAAGGTTCGTGCGAGGACATTCTGTATATTTCATGAGCCCGTTTTCTTTGGATGAGGTGTTTGGTTTAATTTCGCAGTTTAGCGTCACGTTTCTATTCCGTTTGTGACCAACAGGTGGCCTTCGCCTCCGGCGTCGCACCTGTTGGTCAGCATGTCATCGGCTTTTTCTGTCCAACGGACTGCCGCGACGACATCGGATTGCTCGTGTGGCCGTCATGGCTTTTGGCTTCTGTTGCTATCACGTTGTTTTTGTTTGTCATCGCGGTGTGTTTTGTCATCACTTTGAGTTTTGGGGGTTTTCGGGACTCGGCTGGCGCTTCCGATTGGGTTTTTCCGGCGTACCCGCCCAAGTGTTTGTGTGAATCTATTTTTGCTCGGTACACCCTGCTTCACTTGCTCCTGGCCGATATCCTAAACGCAAAAAAGCAACGGTGCAGGATCTCGCCGATGCTTTCCGTCGTGACGACAGTCCGCTGTTCCCAAAAGGAAGGGAGCGATTTCGTGAGTTCCGGTGATTTCTAGCATACGCCGTGATGAATCGAGCAGCACGGTCGTCCTCGGGTGCCGTCTCTGGCAATGCGCCGGCTTCTCTCACGCGCACACTTTCTTGGGGAGTGGCAATTGCTTGTTTCGGTTGCTCGGTGAAGCTTTCGGGCTGAAGATGCGACGGCGGCGTGTGCGGGGAGGGAGGCGTCACGCTCAGCGGGGGTCCGCTGTCAGATTATCCCTGTAGTGGGACTCGATTATCAGCTTTGACAGGGAGAACTATGTCCCAGTTATGTCACAGCCAACGAAGCTCTTTGTGAAGCGCATCCCTTTGAACAAGTCAAACGCTCATCTCTTCTGCAGCTCGGCTCATCGTCGCCGCGCGTATCCCGGCCCGGGTGAAATTTCAGCCCCCGGCCGCGGTTTGGACACCGTCCAAAGGGTGAAACTTGCGCACGCACACGGCGGTGTCGACCGCAGGCAGGCGGAGACGCTTCCGACACGCGCTCTCCCGACCGGGCCGCGTTGTCGTGTGGCCGCCGTAGCATGAAAGCCACCAGAAGAGGCGCACGCAGATGGCCGCCCGTCGCTGATCACCGATGGGGAATGAACCCTTCTGTTGGGCCGCGGGTGCGCATGGCCGAGCGTGACAGGTTGTCATGCTACATTTAAGAAACATCCATGTGTGGAGAGACGCATACATGGATGGGCAGCGAAAGAAGCAAAGGGAAGCGCTACAAATGTGGCATTGCTGGTCAAGCAGATGGTGACATGTTTGCTTGCACTCGGGTGAAATGTGCAGCAGGACCGGCTCCAAAATCATTTCCTCATATTTCCTCCGGGGTGCACGGCAATCGTCCGTCCATCCGTGATCTGAAGCGCTTCTCCTCAGGAGGGCCGCGCGGGGGCGTGCGGGAGCCGATCCCGGCCGTATCCCCGGCAGTAGGCGGGGTTACATCGCACTCGTTTGTTCCACCGAGAGAGACGCGACACGCATTCAATGCGTCGATCCGGTCCTTGGTTGCAGTTGGGAAAATTCCAGTCACTGAAAGAAAAGAAATCGACATCGCATTGTGCAGCCAACGTTGATCCGAATCCCGTTGAGAATTCCAAAGATCAGCAACATCCGAGAGGAAGACAGCTGATCGGACTTTGAATGTTGTCGTCGAAAAGAAAGATGGATTGTGAATAATGCGTAAGCGGCGGACGGATGCATGGAAGGACTGACTGTCTTCGAGCCGTTTTAGTTCCTCGCCGAATTTTCCTATCTCTCTC